GCTGACCAATCAGAGCACACCTTGCTTTTCAGACCGATGAGCTTTGTAAAAATCGAGGTGTTTCAGAAAGGCGGGGCATAGAGGAAAAACAATAATTAATATTGTATATAATAAATACAGTCACAAAATAATGTTATTTTTAGCAACATCATATGACCCCTTTAAACCAAACTTTAAACCAAACCAAGATTCAAAAATCCTTCAATAATATCTTAAATGTCAAACTTAACATAAAGTAAAAATCCAAACATAAAGTAAAGTCAATTATGACTGTACTGTACATGAGTGTGTAAGGGTAATAAAGGGGGCACTAATTGACCAATCCCATTTTAACTGTAAGAAGGTTAATGCCATGCATTAATCTGCTCGCTTCGTGTACTCCCTGCTCTTTAATTAAACTTCACTTTGCATGTCTCCTTCAGAGGAAAATGATATATGATGTATATGTCACTCGGCAGAAAGCTGTAAAGCTGGGACTCTGATGGAGGCCAGCAGATGGGCTGGGAGACAATCTCTCTCAGGGGAATATAATAAATACAGTCACAAAATAATGTTATTTTTAGCAACATCATATGACCCCTTTAAAACTTGGTGTAAAAAAAAAAAACTTTAATCGCACCAGCACACTAGATGGCAGTATGTCGTTGGATATTTTAGTTAAACTTAGAGAAACAAACCCGGAAGAAGCGTGTTGATCACTTGACCTGTAGTGGATTCCTACTGTTTATTAGTTTTTGTTTGATGTGTTTGTCGTTTTCCTCTTGATACACATATTCGCGGGAATTATTGCATCTCAACAATTGGTTCACATACACTGTAATGCTACAAACTTTTTGATAATTGACAACGCTCGGCTTTCATGAGAAACCTGGATTCAACGCTTAAACATCTATTTTGCAATAAGAACCGTATTTTTTGGACATTTGAAGTTAATTGTTTTCTGTATAAACTGTCCCGGCATATTTGACAATGGGTTGTGTCTGTTCGCGCTGACACTTGCATGTGTTTTCCAAACTAAACATAAATGGTTTACAAATCATTGAAGTATTAGCGACTGGTTAACGTGGATAAGGAATGGAATATGGCTACATCTGAGATGATGCTGAGTCTTGGACTAATTGGTAAGATTAAAATACCTCGAAAATATATTTTTTTATTATGAGTACATTTTATGTATTAAAGCGATAGTTAACCCCAAAATTACAATTTTGTAATAATTAAACTCCTCATATTTTTTCAAAATCAGTATGACTTTCATGTTGAACACACAAGGGGAAGTTAGGCAGAGTGACAGCACCATTTGTCAGTCACCATTTACTTTCATCGTGTGGAAAAAAGATGCAGTGAAAGTGAATGGTGACTGAGACTGTCCCTAGCATTCTCTCAAACATTTCATTTTGTGGTCTGCAGAAGAAAAAGGCCTCATGACAGAATCTACATTTTTGGGTGAACTATCTCTTTAATTATAGAATAAGAATTATTTTGTCAGTAATTGAATTTGTCCCCCTTACACAGAGAAAGATGTAAATGCAGACACGCTTTGGGTTTGGTGTTATCCTTCCATCAGTGCTGATCTGCGAGAGGTTCTGTTGAGAAAATGTTGCCTGCCGTTAAATAATCAGGTACTGCACAAATTTGTGTTTGGACAATACTGCCGAACCTGGTACTACATCACCACTGTCGAGGTTCAGGAGCCAACTGCACTTAAAAAGGTACAAAACTTCAGGATTTGGACTCTACTAACCAACCTGAAAGCTTACAAACCTGTGCTCGAATAATGCTACAGGAATAGTTCAACATAGAATGAAAACTTTGATCATATGATTGTTTTTTGTTCATTTACTCATCTTTATGTTGCTCCAAACATGTATGTCTGGAGAAGTTTACCAGAATGTTGACACTGCACAAAGTAAATGGTGACCAGGGGCTGTAAAGCTCCAAAAAGTGACAAAAAGCATCATAACAGTAGTCCATACATCAGTTTGATGTGAGGAGAAGACAGAAATCTAAACCATTATTCACTGATAATTGTTTCTTATTCACATTTGTGTGTATTCTAATTTGGAACATCAATGACAGAATTTAATGAACGAGTCAACTTTTCTTATAATCCAGTGGTGCTCAACCGGGGGGCCCAAGATGACTTAAAATAAGACAAAAACAAGCAATACAATAAACTGAAAAAACTGTCAAGGTATTTCTTTCTTAAATGTACAACCTCAACACCTCTTTGTTTCCTTTAAAACTGATGATATGATGGAAATCATGCCAGCTTGCTAATAATTTACTTCAATTTCATTCAAAGGTGACACATTTCTCAGTAGTTATCACAGCTAAGGACTTCAACCCTGAAAAATATGCTGCATTCAGTAGAGTTCTGTGCAGGTATGTTTATGTACAAACCATTTAGTGCAACCACTTAGTGATTGTGTTAAGTTTCAGAAATTAGTCATTATTTCTTTCAGTAAGCATCTTTTGTTTGCCAGCACACAATTTCTAAGGATGTACACAGAGTATTTGAGAGTTTGTGATGTTACATCTGTAACATTGTGTTTGTTCAGGACATATATCAAACATGGAAGTCCTGTGAAGATGATGGAATGCTACATCGCTGTTCTGACCGAAGGGATATGCCAGAGTGATGAGAACGGCTCCTTCCTTATCAAAGATTACGACGTCAGAAAGGCCTACCTGGCTGGATCCTTAAAAGGTTAGGGGGAACCCTTAAAATGAACAAGCACTACTCGCTAATCACGGCAAGAAATGAGCTGCTAAAATCACATACCTCTGGTACTATGGCCATTTGCTCCATTTGGCTTTATGATTGTTATTTTGGAAATCCTTCAAGAAAGTGTCTTAATTCTGTAAAAAAAAAAAAAAAATATATATATATATATATATATATATGTATAGTATGCAAGTTTGCTTTATTCTAGACTTCATGAGATGTTAAATCTTTATTTTAGATGTTGTGTCACAATTTGGTATGGAGACCATCATCCTTTATACAGCACTAATGTTGAAAAAAAGAGTAGTGGTCTATCACCCACGTATTGAGGCGCTGCTGGAGTTCACAAGGTAACCACGGAAATTATCATTAAGTTGACATGAAATCAAAATTGATTCTATTTACTTTCATAATTTACATTTGACATTAATCCAAACCAGAAATATGGCAGATTAAGGAAGTAAAATGGATTGCAATCAGCATTTCACGTTGACTTTAAGTATGTCCTGTGTTGCTTCTACAAAGAGCTTTGTTCAAGGTGCTTGTGGTTATGGTTAGTGGTTTACTCTACTGTTCCAAAAAATGTTTGTGCTCACGAAGCCTGCATTTATTTGATCAAAAATACAGTAAAACGGTAATATTCTGAAATATTATTACAATTTAAAAATAATTTCTATTTCAGTATATTTTAAAAATGTAATGTATTCTTGTGATGGCAAAGTGAAATTTTCAGCAGCCTTTACTCCAGCCTTCAGTGTCACATGATCCTTCAGAAATCATTCTAATATGATGATTATGAAAAATTTATCATATTCAAAGTTGAAAACAGTTGTGCTGCTTAATATTTGATGGAAACCTTGATACATTTCAGAAATCTTTGATGAATAGAAACTTCAAAAAGAACAGCATTTGTTTCAATTATATACTGTATTTCAATTTATAGTATTGTATTTACAGTTTACAATTTTTTACAGTATTTACAATTTACAGTACTTAACAAAAGCAGTTATTTCTTCAAAAAAACAAACAACAACAACAACAAAAAGCTTACTCAACCCACACTTTTGAAAAGTATTGTATGATAATGGTCATGCACTAAAAATTATTTGTGGTAACAGTGTTTCTGTTTTTAAAACCAGAGCTCTTCCTGGACTGGTATGGCATAGAAAAGACTGGTCCATCCTCCACCCTTTTGTACACCTGGATGATAATGAGCTGGAAAACCTCAAGCTGTGTACAGGTATGGACAATTTCTTCTCCTCCCAAAACAAACACTTGCTACATTTATGAATTTCTTTGTTCTTTGTCTCTGTAGGATATGTTGCAGGGTTTGTTGATCCTGAAGTCAGAGACAGATCAGATCTGTTTGATGTGTATGTTAATCTTCCAGACAGTGAAATCACTGTGTCACAAAATGCCAAAGGTGAGAGATTCAGTTTTACATACTGACTGGGATTAGGTAGGAATGGTGATGTGGATGTTTAAGTCACCATACCTCACTATACCTTATGTTTTCAGAGGCAATGGCTATGGGAAAACTCCATAAAGAGATTGGCAACTTCATTGTCCAGGCTGCAGAGGACACCGATCGCATAGATGCACAGGTTATTAAGGTGACGTACAATACTAAGAAAGTATACAGCTGTAGCACAACCTACATTTGAAGCATTTCAGTTTACCAAGACTTGGAAATCCTACATGTGTTTTTAATCCAGCCCCTTTTTAAATCGGTCTCCAGGATATTTCAGTAAAAACTAAGGAGATCCTCAGTAACCTGATGTCTCTTGCTGATGAAGCAGAGAACTCTAAGTTGACTTTGGAGACCCTGAAGCAGCGGCACTACCCTCCAGCGACTGAGAACTTCCTCTTTCACTTAGCTGCAGCTGAGCAACTCCTGATGATCTGACCAATCAGTGCATCTCATCCAACTGGCATGCCTCACAGTAACTGATCAGAGAGGAACTTACCATTTGTGGAATCATAAAATTAACTGTAACATTTGAAAGAATCTGTCTAATTTCAGGTGTTCTGAACAGGGCAAAAGTTATATAAGAACATAAAGATTTCTTAGAAAGATATATAAAATACAGCTATGATAGCTACACCTCATGGGTGTAATTATGTTGAATAACATTTCTAAGTGATAACAGGTTTGAGAAATAATTCATAATCAAACCTTTTGGTAACACTTGGATTTATATGCTGTCCTCTGTAAGCATTCCTGAGGTATCTAATTATTAAGTTGTTCATAACCTTAATTTGGCACGCTCTTTGAACTTGTATAAGATTTCATCATTGCACATCAATGTGAAAGGGCTGACGGTTGCCTAGTTCATGCCTAATTAAAATACATTTGTTATGCTGTAAAATAATAATACCGTTATGTTAATTGTTCAGTGAAGATTAAAATACAGTTGCTCTAATGAGGGTCCCATTAAATTCAGAATGTAAATGAAAAACTGAAAATCAGTTTTACTTAACTGCCGAGTGCCAAAACCTCAGCTTAAAGTTATGTTAATTAACAACCTGTATGTCTATTGATTTAAGACATCTTTTTATCATTATATGTTCAAATGACAATTCCCATGTTAGATTTTACATTTTGCATTCCTAGTGATTGCACATATTATTGATTTTGACATTACTTTATACATTTTTGATTAATCTCCTTATTAATTTGACAGCCCCTTGTTATCAATGGCTATCCTCTGTGCCTAAACAGATCATAGATGATATTTTGATCATATGTATGCAATATATCCTGAAAAAAGAGGATGTTCAAACTGTATTCTCTGATTTCTTAAACACTGTCCTCATCCTTTACATAGTCATAAAATGCTGTTTCCTTAGAAACGTTGCTAAATGTCTGTGACCATTAAATGTATATAAAAAAATGTATATGTGAGTGGCAACAGGAATTTTATTGACACTAACAGACAGTGTTATTAGCAGGATTTGGTAAAAATCCACTTCAACGCAGTGTTTAAAACCCTTTTCAGCCTGAAATGCAGCTATTAAATGAATATGAATTCAGTACCGTAGAGTTGTACTTCTTCCTTTGGTCATTGAGTATTAGTATAGCATTGATTAGTAGCTCATAAACCCTTTTGAGAAAATGTGCATTCTTTTAAAACTTAAAGTAGCCACCTTTTTGAAATTTTGTTGAAATACAGGGGACTTTTAGTATACTAGTTCAGTTTAATGTCAGCAAGATCTGTCAATAAAATTCACAGTCAAATAGGAAAGCTGGCAATGGCAACATTACAGTCCTCTGTGGTAAAACAGTTCACTGTGACCGTCAAGTGACTGAAATTCCTCTAAATTCTCCTTCTTTATCTGCAAATAAAAAAATAGGTTGGTTCTGAATCATGCTTATCAATGGTGATTGAGAATGCGATTTTTGATGAAAACATTCAGAGAATTGATGAATGCATTTACGAAATTAAAATGATAAAGTATGATAACCTGGTTTGTTATGAATCTAATGTGTGTTACCTTGCCAAACTGTGGAAAAAGACTGAAGGATACAGGAATCATCAGGCCAAAAATAATGGCAGTACTGACATGCCGAACAGGAGCGATTATCATTGGGTTCCTCTGAACAAACTTTGCCCTGAAACATTGACAGCAGAGTTCACATTATCACACTTAAAACTTTTACAAGTCAACTTGTAAAATGGAAAGCAACCCATTTTGACTTGTACCTTTTAAGGAGAGCCAACAGTAAAGTGGGAAAAGCTGCAGTGGTGCCAAAGAGAGTAGCTCTTGAGAGGGCTGTTTCTTTTATGGCCTGTGACCAACACAAAGAATACATATTTAAATAGTTTAAAGATAAGGAGCTTTGGTGGCATAAGGTTTTATTGTAGTCTCACCTTAGAACCAGCTGCCTTCGAGACTCCGACCGCATTGCCCTTAGAATCAAACACTCGTATTCCATTATCGGCCTCTTCACTTCTCACCACCATTACACTGAACGCAGCTAGACAGGCTAGAAATACACATGTTTGGTTCAAAACGTTTCAATGGTATTATAACCCTAGAGGGAACACTCTAGACAGGAATATGTATGAAATGGCATAACAATATGAACACACTCTGCTGTAGGTGTATTGTGTGCATTTGTTTTCTGGTGTTCTTACCTGAGAGAGGAATAGGTAACAATGATCTAGAGAAGGTCTCAGCCACAGCACCGATGAGTCTAAAACGCTTAAGTATAATCTGAGGAAGAGCCTGTAAAGAGAACATATTCAGGTCACACTTCACCCCAAAATCTAAACTAAATATTTTAATATTTAATTAATTTTAGTATTTTCCCATCAAAACATTAATTCGAATTACATTTTTTTTGCATTATGATAATGATAATTTAGAGAAAATGTGTGCCTAATTGTCATTAAAATTACGTATATTGCATTATTATCACTTTAATACACATCTGAATGGTCCTAAATAAGGATTTAATTTCTTTAAGATGAATATAATCACTGGTTTCTTTCTTTTTATATCGGGGTGTAACATGACCCGGACATGAACTTTGAACCTTGACAGGTTTCATGAGATTCTCACACCTGCTGTAACGTCAACAATAAACTGAACATAAAATCATCAGATGAAAACGGTTTATTGACTGAGAAGCCAGGACTGTGACAAAAATCTCTTACCCCTGCAAATGCTGAGTAGGCAACTGTTCCAACAATAAGAATGGACTGCTTCATTGACGTTTTGTTATCCTAAGCAAAAAAAAGTGAAATAACTGTGGTTATCTGCCACAAAGACCATTATTTTATATCATTTCAATTTTAATTAAAGACAACATTGTTTACCTTAGTTGCTGTTGCATTTCTGTTAGCATGGTTGAATCCTGCACAGTATGCCTGAAGCAAAAACTATAGCAAAAATTGTTACCAAAATGGTTTGTTGACAAGAAAAGACAAATGAATACATAAATGTAAAATGTACTTACTTGCCAGAACAACGCAGGTTTAATGCCTTTGTGGGGTATTAAACTTGCAACAACCTGTAGAAATAAAAACAGGAGGGATCTTTCATTTCAGATATATATATATATATATATATATATATATACAGTGGTGGCCAAA